CCCTATCCTCTTGGGTTTGGGTTACATTATTGTATCTAGGAACTGGTAACTGCTTTGCCTAGTTACTAGTTCCTTATTCGCAGAGGGAACTGGGAACTGGTAACTGCTTTGCCTAGTTACTAGTTTCTTATTCGAATAAGGAACTGGGAACTGGGAACTAGGAGCTAACTTCACTGACCCATTAAATTAGGTATCTGGTAACAAATCCGTGTGGGTATAGACGATTTGTTATACAGTAAGTACAGTTGTATGCAGTAAAATCCTAGAGTCTACTATCCCTTTAAATTAATAATTGCATCGAAAGGTTGGGTTGCAAGTGACAGTGTCAGGGGTAGGTTGCATAGTTTGTTTTACGAAGATACAGAAAGAATATCATAGTGCCATATGGCATGATAGAATGCGGTCTGCTTGGCAGTGTACTTACAGCTGTGCAATTTCTTTACCGCATCCTAAATATGTAGCAAATGCATCTATAACCTCATCAATACAAACGGTCGAATCGACATCAAAACAGATAGCATCGCAACAACACAACAGACGTTTTGTGTCCATCTCGGTGGCCATCTCCGATGATCTCGCTTTAGCAAACAGAACTAGAAATTAAACCTCTACTATATTGCCAATGGCATTATTGGTCCATTTATACACTTTACGACACGTTTACGTTGACTTGTTGGCAGCTTGTTGGTGTCAGGTAAATATCGGCAGCGGACTTAATTTTGATACGCCCATAGATGGCGCTGCGTAAACACAAACTATAGACTGGTACTCGCTCCCACCTCGATTACTCGATAGGTGACTAATCGAGTAACTAAGCCGAGAGGTAGGAGCGAGTACCAGTCTACACAAACAACAACACGATATAAACTCTCACACCAACGAAACACCGGTTTCACTGTCTCTGTGACTGTGGTAAGTTTTCAATAACAGGGAATTTAAATTTAGCCTACAGTGTACTGCAGAATGATTTAAAGAAATTCTATAGTAATCTAAATAATCATTTCTTTATTTCTAAATTCTATTTACACAGAAGTCTGAGAAGAGTAAGAAGAGCAAAAACGAAGAACACAACCCCGGCCCTGGTTAACTTGGTGTAATAGGGGTTTGGAACCTCAGGCACAGGCAGCTACAACCTACCCAAGCGACGATATCAGCTAGTAGTAGTAAAGATGGGGTCGATTGTTGGCAAAGCAATGGACGATAACATTAAGAAGCAACAAGAATTTATGCTTGCCACTCAGCGTCTTGCGGTGATTAAAGAATTTGTGAAAACTATGTGGTTGTGCTCTCATGTCAAAGTCACAAGAGTGTTCTGAAAAATTATCTGTCTATACAATATTTGCTATTTCCAATAGTTATAATTAGTAGTAGATAGTAGCAAAACATAAAGGTCACATAGGATATGGTAGCTTTGCACATAGCTCTAGTACTATAGCCCGCGGATCGCTGCCGCTGCGGCAGCGATCCGCGGGCTATAGTACTAGAGCTACTTTGCACACAGCACTGCCGACAGCAGGGTGGGCAGGAAGATATATCTTTGATCCTTGATCGAAGCTCTTCTGAGCCGTATTGTTCTTTTTGTATGGTATATACCTATATGATATAAATAACGATTAATTTTTTGTTTTTGTAGATGGAGCGCCAAATCCAGATGCAGAATCAAATGAGGGAGCGAATGATGGCAATGCAGATTGCCAAATCACGAGAGTTCTTCTGGTGGTGGGCAGCCTTTTATAGTTTGGCCGCCCCTGCAATGATGATCGGGTGGGTATTAGTATTACGGATATTCATGACTGGTGGGTATATCAACCATCCCGGTGTGTCTTGGATCCGAATCTGGATTGTTTTTAGCACTCGCACTAACTAGCAGTATACTGTATAGTTAGGAAGATGAAGTCTCATCTATTATAGAGTTATTCCTCAAGCATTATGCTAAGCCAGCCTTTTTGCTGACATTGAGAATGGTTACTGCCAGTGTATTTTATAGCCATGGTTCCTTTACGTCCTTATTATTCGAAGGCGAGCCCACCAATTTACGTTGTTATCTGCACCATCATGGAGTCGGCCTTTAATGTTGAGAGGCCCAGTTCTAACCCTTGAGAACATTGCCATGGGTAGAGTTTGAAACTCGAAGCCCTCAAATTTAAAGGTGAACACAGTAACCACTAGACCACTGTGGCTTTATCAAATATAGTTGTACTGTTATGGCAATGGGTTGTAATGGACTGTGTAAATTGTTATGTTATAGAACAAAGACAATCATACTGTGTACAATTGCAATTAGTACACTTACTGTGACCGTTTTCTTTAACTATTTCGTGTTTTATTACATCACACCTGCGATTGGCCCATAATGATGTAATAGGTTGAAGTCTAACAACCCATAATCTCGGTGCAAACACTTTTTTTCCGACTTTATATTCTAGTTTTCATTTGGAATTTTAGTGCAAAGCGCCAAGGAAACCACGCGATAGCTGTACCATTAGTTCCCCTGACATTTGTTGTTGGCTATTTAGCAGACATGGCATATGGCAACAAACTTGAAAGGATACGACGTGAGTACAAAGAAAATGTGCCGAGCCAATATCCATCATCAATGTTACATGTATTCACACATCATACTATAGTGCCCACCATGCGTGCAAAAACACTGTGATAATGTCATCTTTAGGTGCTATATTTATCTTCAAATCATATTGAATAGAGAACGCTGATGTGTAGCATTAACTATGCATAAATATTGAAAAGTAATGCTGCAGTAAATTTAAATGCAATGCATTAATTAGTATTTGTTTGTAATGTAGATGAAGCAGAGATAATTCTTCAGGATACTCCGGATATGTTGACACTACCCAGCGGTACGCCGACATATAACACCATAGAGAGAGCGAGACTCGCACAGAAGGATGCTCAAGAGTTGGAGTCGAAGAACGAGCTTTTCCTTTAAGACTAATGAAGCTTTCATAGTTGACCTAATGCTGGAATTGGACACATCATTAACAAATAAGTCAATTTATTATTCCTCGAACTATCAGACAAATATTTGGCGTTACAATTGGGACTTCAGTATTTTTCATATGAATGGTTTTGATCAGTTTCATGTTGGAGTTTCTTAGCCAAAAATGGAAGAAATTGTTGATCCAAGCAGTTAATTTTTATTTAATGAATAACTGGAATTATTGTCTGAGATCTGTTCAGGTCTGTGCTTCCATTCTCGTCTATCTCCTTAATGGACCCTAGCTAGTATTCTAGAGTTGTTCTAGGCTAGTGTGCTCAACTAATTATATCAGTGTTAACTCTGTTGTGTACCGAATTAATTACAGCTAGTGCTGTTGACAGTGTTACTGTGGGCTTGAACTGAAGTTGCATAAAATTTGCACCTGAGATACTCAATGAAAGCACCACCATTACTTTAGCTTGTTAATACCTATAATATCTAGTATGCACAAAATGTCTTGTTACTTTTATAACAAAGATGGGTGTTACTATTTTATTTGTATTCGATCTTAAAATTAGCTCAATTTATTCTGCTGCACTGATCACAGAGAACCTACAAAGTATATCAGCAGGAATACGTCTAGCTATAGTTACTATTAGCAGTCGTGTATGTATTTTTACTAGTCACCTTTAGTATTTGTGGAAACAATACGTGTGCCTATAAGTGTTACATCTATCTAATCTATCTATCTAACAAACATGTAGGAAAGAAATATTAGATATTACATGATGTGTATAGAATAGAATGTCAGGTGTCAGATGTGTATAGTAACATATTCACACATTTGATTAAAATGTGTGATCAGTTGGAAACATTGTTTCATGTACTATATTGAAGCACCATGTGTGTAAACTAATAGATCAAAGGTGGCTGTAGTAAGATCAGGAGTAAACTTTAACTTCCAAATTACTATTTAGTTATTTGAAAAGGACTTGGACCACTTTCACTCCTGCTACCTTTGATCAGTGACAGCAAGATCTGTCACTAATCATTGCTGTGAGTGACGAATTGTGTCAACAAGTTTAGTAACTTGTCTGCCATACTACACTACACATGAATTTAGTACAGTAACAAACAAATGTTAGACTGAAGACTAATACAGGGTCCCCACAGCCTTTGAAAGTTCTTGAATTTTGTCCTTTGTCATTGAAAGTCCTTAATTTTTCCCTTTGTTATTGAAAGTCCTTGGAAATAGGTCTAAGTCCTTATTTTATGTCTAATGTCCTGGAGTTTTACATTTTTGACCTAAAATAAAAAGTAAATCTTCATTGCTGGTTATCTAACTGACCCTTAAGTCTTCGATAAAAAATTCACATGTCATTGTCTACTAATGTACTCTACCAAAGTAGTTTGTTTTGTCTCTAATTTTCACGTGCAGATGGTGTAGCGGTCTAGACTACAAGTTCGTCATTTTAATATTTATTTATTCCTCCGTGTTCATATTTTCCTACACAATTGTGTCAATTTGTGTGTAATTTGTGTGTAGGAAAATACACTGATCTATAAATAAAAAATTATAATAGTCAGCATATAGAATTACGATCCCTACCCATGCACCCATGACTAAAAAGGGTAAATAAACTAGTTTTAGCAGATACTGTTCTGTGAATTTTGGATTAAATTTAATATTATTTGTTATTTGTTATTATTTGTAAAGATTTGGGACAAGGGCATTATGGCCCTTTCTTCCATGGGTTGGAGGCTGAAGAAGATCTTTAATTTCACCAGACCAGCTCGATCCGCAAGTACTATTAGAAAGAAATTTATGAAGAAAGGATTGCTCTCATTGAATTAGGGTGGGGGTATATATGATGACTTAATTATATATTATATATGATATGATGTCTTTGAAATGTCCTTGAAGTCTTTGAAAAAATCATTCACATTTGTGGGAACCATGTAGGCCTACTGAGTACCTAGCAGCAATAATGTACCATATAGAATCAACCATCACGAAAAAAAATCAAGAAAAAAAACAATACCTTTTCATTCAATATCTAGTATTCTATCTATTTCTATCTATCTATAATAACTGATATGTCTATCTATTTATATGGTACTTTAATCTATATCCTATCAGGTCATATTCTCTCGGGAATAAGCTAGTGATCCCCCTCTCCCAAATGGTATCGCCTACGACCTCGTTAGCATTGAATTTTAATCAAGCAAATGGCTGGTTTTCAGCCTCAACGTTCACACACCCCCTCACCCCAAAGCACAAAATATGAGTATATGAGAGAGAGAGAGAGAGAGAGAGAGAGAGAGAGAGAGAGAGAGAGAGAGAGAGAGAGAGAGAGAGAGAGAGAGAGAGAGAGAGAGAGAGAGAGAGAGAGAGAGTAG